TTTAAATTTTAAACTTTTTAAAATTTATCTTTAAGTATTTTGTTAAAGGTATACTCTACCATTTATGTTGCCTTTTAAAACTTTATAAAATACATATACTAGACACCCCAAGTAGAAACAGTTTCCTCACATCCCTTTGAGCAAGATATCAAAAATGAGCAAATAAATGAAACATTAGATAGATTACTCAGAGAACTTGAAAGAACATAGGTAATAATCCTTGCTCCAAAAATAGGTAGTAAAATTGGGGTCAACTTTAATGGAGGAGAAACTGACATAATGTTTATATGTCATATACCAAACATGCCAAGAGATAAATAATAAACATATAAAACTGAATATATAACCCTGAGTCATTCAACTTCTCTGTGTGCCCACCACAGACTAAATGAGAATAAAAGTAGTTATGCAAGTGACACAGAGGGTGATGATGAGAATCAAGTGACCTGCTGCTTATCAAGCAACTTTAAGAGGTTATAAAGTCTCCATGCTTCTCAAACTTTACCGAACAATCCCCCCCGGAATGTTTGCAAAAACACAGACTGTAAATCCTGCCCCCAGCGATTCTGATTCAGTAGGTCTGGAGTGGGGCCCAAGTACCTGCCTTTGGAACCAGCACCAGAGATGCTGGTGTTGCCAGTCCCGGACCACATTTTGATACTGAAGTAGCTGCATTATCATTTGTTGGTAAAACGCTACGTTCAAATGATAATAAAATGGATTTTGTTTTCAATACATGTTACTTTTTCTGTGCCTTTTAGGGTGTTTCTTATCCCTGTTCTTCAGATCATAGACCAGATAATGAAAACCTGCGCTGCAGATTACATTGTCTATGTATCACTAATCTGTTCACTCCAAGTGCTGCTTTGATAATTTCTCTCAGAAGGACTCATGGCTGCAAAATGTTGTCCAACAGCCCACATCTTATTGAGTAATAAAATATATGCCAGTGGTTCTCAACCTGTGGGTCGCGACCTCTTTGGTGCTTGAACGACCCTTTCACAGGGGTCGCCTAAGACCATCCTGCATATCAGATATTTACATTATGATTCATAACAGTAGCAACATTATAGTTATGAAGTAGCAACGAAAATAATTTTATGGTTGGGTCACAGCATGAGGAACTGTATTTAAAGGGCCAGAAGGTTGAGAACCACTGATAGACCATTGTCTGATCTTTACTAAGATTTGTAAATATGGATAAGCTCAGACCATCTCTGCTATTTGGAAGGAACACCAGGGGACACTGATTGCTTGGGTCAGAATTCCCTAACCATCAATTTCCCACAAAGAAATCATGTCCTGAAGAGGATGTGACCTAACAAAGGTCACATGGAGATGGGCAGCAGAGCGGGGGAAGAACACAAAATGTCTGGCCACTCCCCAAAGGGATCTTCCTAGATCCCTTTGTGCCCAAAAGACTCCCCTGGAATCAAGCATAGATCAATGCACCTCCAATCCTTCAAGGCCATGGACAACCAAGAAAGCAGGCTTGCCACATGCCTGAGAGACACCACCAAGCTGCTAACTCTGGGAAAGCATGGAGACTCGGAAAACAATAGGTAAGGCCTACTACACTGTAAGAGCAGAGTGTGGCCACACAAATGGTCCAGCTAATGGACCATCAAATGTTAGGGCACCACTTTGTAGTTTACACAAAGGCATCAGCAGCTCAGCCAATAAAGATCAAAAACACTCAAAAGGAGCCTGACCAGCATGACTCAGTGTTTGCACATTGACCTATGAACCAGGAGGTCCTGGTTTGATTCCTGGTCAGGGCACATGCCTGGGTTGTGGACTCGACCCCTGATGATTCTCTCTCATCGTTGTTGTTTCTATCTCTCTCTCCCTCTCCCTTCCTCTCTGAAATCAATAAAAAAAAACAAACTCAAAAGGAATATATATATATATTCCATATAGACCATTAAAATCCTACAAACCAATGCATCAAAGATATTTACTTCCCCTAAAGTTTAGGGAAACCATCACACTTGCATGTCAGTGCTCACAAACATTTTGCCCAACATCCTTTGGCATATATGTCCAGAGAAAAGCAAGGCCGGTCCATGCCATCTATTTCCCAAGTCTCTCGGCTCCAATACTAATGGCTCTGATATTACTGGTGCTAAGGATTTATTTTCCAATGACTAAGTCATAGGAGCTGAACTTTGAGTCAGGGTCCCCTAAAATTCTAAGTTACCTTGTTTCCAGTTGTAGGCACTCAGTAACTATTTGGTGACTTGAGGAATTTAGTGAGACCTCTTCCTGGATGCCAGGGGAACATCAGAGTCTGTGCTGACATATTAGGATCTGAGGTTAAGATATTACTCCCAGGGGAGAATAGCAACAAAACTTAGAAGGATCCATGCTCCCTGAAGCATGTATTACTGAGCACTATGATCCCATTCACTTGTGATTATTTGCTGTGATAAAGTAAAATTACTGATGAATTACATCTATTGTTTTCAACACAGCTTTATGTTAGAATGAGATCAGGGATCCTGAAATTTGGCAAGAACCATTCAGAGAAACTATCATAAATTTGCCTGGTTCCACTAAGGACAGATCTCAGATTAAGTTGGTATGTACCAGAATAACAATTCTGCTTATTAAAATACTGAAACACTTCCATTCCAATTGGTAAATAACCACGGCTCTAAAGTAAATAGTCCCTCCTACAGCGTCTCTTCAATGTACCTGCACTCCAGTCTCTTCCCACGGAATCCCTGGCATCCTATCCTCAACCCAGCAATTTAAAAGTTAACACCTGGCAGAGCTGGGGGCATCCAGCGCCCTGTGAGAGCACTAGAAAAGCATCTGATGTTCTCTTCTTTTTCTTTTTCTTTTTTAATATATGTTTACTGATTTCAGAGAGGAAGGGAGAGGGAGAGAGATAGAAACAACAATGATGAGAGAGAATCATTGATCGGCTGCCTCCCCCATGCTCCAAACTGGGGATTGAGCCCACAACCCAGGCATGTGCACTGACCTGGAATCGAACCATGACCTCCTGGTTCATAGGTTAATGCTCAACCACTGAGCTACACTGGTTGAG